AAAAACAGGGTGGGAAGGGGGAGGCTATTGATGAATTAAAAATAAATGAGTGATGCAGGATTTTATATTTTAAGAATTATGAACTCATAAAAACAAAATTCATTGCCATTGAGTCTACTGCAACTCATAGCTACCCCTTCTTGGATTTCCAAAGTGGTATCTCTGTGGAAGTAGATGGCCCAGTCTTCCTTCTGAGGAGTGGCTGGTGGCTTTGAACCACCACCTTCTGGTTAGAAGTCAAATGCCTTAGGCACTATGCCATCAGAGCTCCCTTAGGAATTATAGGTAATAGTTTTGTTTGTATGGTGACCCAAGAGTACAGAACTGAAGTCTGGGAAAATGGGCTATTATTGAAATAATTGAAGTTAAAGATGATGAGGGCCTGCATTACGACAAAGGCAGTAGAAATGAAGAGAATGGAACATATTCAAGAGCTGTTTAAGAAGTAGAAATGGTAGAGCTGGTGAAGGATTGTGTTTGAGGGTTGATGGAAATGGAAGAGGAAATAATTATTCAATTGAACAAACATGTTCTTCGTAAAAGAATTCAATTTTAGTAGATAGAAGATTATAGGAGCACAGAGAAAGGGCAGGAGCAGTGGGATAATATTTTTCTTCTTTTATTTTTAAATAAAGGCTTGCTCTCCAGTGGAGATAACATGGGCTAATCTTTGGGAGTAGGTACGAATTATTGAAGCAGCTAAAATAGTGACGATGTTTCAGGCAGGAAATAGCAGTGCAAAGACTTGGGAGGCCTAGAGGCTCCAAGAATTCTAACTAAAATGGTATTGCCATTGATTGTTATGTCGAAAGCAGCAGGTAGGCCAGGCTTGAAAAATGGAGGAGGATTGGTGGGGGGATTCAGTTTTGACTTTGTTCTTATGACATTTTGTCATATCTGACTGGGGAGCCCTAACTTGGTAATGAGGGAGGCGACTCAGATTGTAGAGAAGAGGACTAAGATTAGAGCTTTTCAAAGTCAGTGATTAAACTGATTAGGAAAAATAAAAGGGATAGGGAATAAGATGAAAATATTAGACAGATACACCAAGAACTAACACGGCATCAGAGAGTCAAGGGTACAGAGAGTAGTTAGTAAGTTCAAGTAGAAGTCATGTAAAATGAAAACTGATGGATGTCCATGGTTTGATATTAGAATCAAGGTCAGTCATGGTTTTTCAAAAGAACAAGGTTAGGTCTGTTGAGTCACATTCTGACTAAATAATAAATGGCTTATGATAAGATAAAAAAAAAAAAAAAGGTGGAAGTAAATTGCGAAGCTTTCTGTGAATTGCTAAATTGATGTTGAAGGGGTATGAGTTATAAAAGATAGGGAAGCTGTTGGAGAAGAGCCAAATTTGATTGCAAAACTGGAAGTCCAGAGAATTTTTTCCTCCCATTCTGTTAGCTTCATGTAGTAAATATGACTCAGTACTTTTTTGTGTTTCTTTGCATTGCACACACAGGTTGCTTTAAAGGCTATCTCCAGATCCTAAGTACCCACTAGAGTACTGGAATGAGAATTCCACCCAGAGCACCAACCACTCCATGGGTGTTATATCCATTTATCCTGATCAAGTTGTAAACACAAAACATGTATAGGGTATTTGCCATAGTGAAAGTTATTTTAATTACTGTACTCACAGACAAAACATAGTGTATGTTCTGGTTATCTAGTGCTGCTTTGACAAAAGGATACCACAAATGGGATGGCCTTAACAAACAGGAGTTTATTCTCTTACAGTTTTGGAGGCTAGAAGTCCAAGTTTAAAGTGCCAGGCTCTAGGGGCTGTGTGAAAGCCCCTCGACCTTGGGCTTAAGCTCTGCCTCTTGCTTCCAGACCACTGAAGCTAGAGGCATCTCTTCACTCAAGCAACTACTAACTGCTGAGGCTAACAAGCCCAAGGTCAACAAATAAAATGGCACAGTCCCAATGTTACCAAACCACACGGCAGGCCATTAATTCAAGTCCATTGTAAGCCCCAAGGTTGGCAGAGCATGGCAGGCGGCTGTACAATAACATGGCTGCATGCAGGGTCCAAGCGTGCCATAAGCTACAGACCATTCCCCAAGGCTTCTCCTTATATACAGGAAGCAGACCACATCCCTAAGGCAGCGACACAGCTGCTCACAGTGGATTCCACCATGGAGTTGATTACCAGTCTCATCATGGGGAATACTACATTCAGCTACCCAGCCACTCAGCCAGGCCCAGCCAAGTTGACACACAGACTTAACCACCACATTATACAACAGGAAAATTCATCATGAGTAGTCCTTTGTAGCTCAAAAGCTGTCAAGATGGAATGGAAAACTTCAGGGTTGCCCATTCTCTTTGCACCATGGACAAAGCACTCTCAGGATCTTCCCTCACTTGGTTTTATATTCCAGTTGTTGTATATTTCACTGCAAGTACAATGCAAGTGTTCCCACCTGATCACCCAAAGAGGGCAATAGTATACATGAAGGCACCAGCCTGGAATTGCTAGTATGGAATTCTATCTCTTTAGCCCTGCTGCTTATTTAGACAAATCACTAGGCATCAGAAAGAGGTGCAGTGGTTTGTTCCAAAACTCAAAAATGCTAGCAGAGGGGAAGGAATGGAGAGTAATTATAGCCATTTGGGCCATCTAAAGAACTATCTGCTCTCATTCTTGTTAATATATTTTATTTATTTATTTTTATAATGCAAGCCAAATACAGAACATTTAAAAAAAAAAATTATTGTGATTTGGGTGAAAGTTTACAGAGTAAATTAATTTTCCATATAGCAGTTCATACACGTTTTATCTCATGACATTGACTGCAGTTCTCCACAAAGTAGCAACAGCTCTCTTCCCACTTCCTTCCCATAGTTACTTCTTTACTGTATCGGTCATTCTTATGCATTCCTGCTCCCTGAGCTATCTCACTGTGCACATACTGCCTTTCTGTTTTCCCATGATTGATGGTTCTAAGGAACATGTCAAATCAATGTAAATGTTCACTCTATATACCTGTCTGTTGTTTGGCTGGAAGCCATGGTAGTGAATTCAATTCCAGAGGATAACTAAAGGCCATAGTTTCAGGGGTCTTACCAGGCTCTATCAGACCAGTAAACCTGGTCTTTTATGAATTTAAGTTTTGTTCCACATTGTTCTCCCACTCTATCCAGGATCTCCTATTTTGATTGCTTTCTGAGCCATTGGCAGTGGTAGCTGGGTACTGTCTTGTTCTTCTGGTCTCATGGTCATATAGGCTGAGGTCCACATGCTCTACTAGTCAGTTGTTTCCATGTGTCTTTGGTTTTCTTCATCCTTCTTTGCCCTGGACAAAGAGAGACCCATTGTTTTATCTAGATGGCTGCTTGCAAGGTTTGAAGACGCCAATAGCAACTCACCAAAGTAGGATGTAGAACAATGTTTTTGTGAAGTATGTTATATTAATTTTGTTAATATTTTTCAGAATAGTTTTTGATTGCATGAGTAGTATGGTGTTTGAACATTAGATACAAATTGTATTATGAGATATCTGCAGTAAACTTCCAGAATAAGTAGATAGATTTTTAGTCAATGGATAATTTATTAGTAAAAGCATTTATTTATATGCATATGCTTATTGCGGTGTGTCAATGTGTTTATTATATTATAGTTGCCTAGTTCCACATGCTTTGAGAATTTTTTTTATTATCAATGAGAAAGTCATGTGTGTGTGTATATGTACATTTAGCAGTCTAAGGAAAATTAATTGGAGGAAGGAGTGTGTTTTTCTCTTAAATACATAATATGACATTTATCTCATGAATAATGGGACCTAAACTCAGTGCTGTGAGAAGAAGTACAATAAAATATGATTTAAAAACAATCGGGACATAATGTAAACATTTTAAATTAATACATAAGAACCATTATTAATTTTATCCTAAAAAGGTTTGTGTATCTGTTTCTCTGTAGTATTAGCAAGTCCTAGAAAATGTTACAGGATTCTGGTAGCATAGTGCCTAAGACACTTGACTGCTAACCAGAGGTTTGTGGTTCAAACCCACCAACCACTCCTCAGAAGGAGGGTTGGGCAATCTACTTCCATAGTGATACTGCCTCGGAAACCCAAGGAGGGGTCGCTATGAATCAGGTCTGACTCCATGGCACATAACAACAACAACAAGAAAATGTTACTGAGTTTAGTATGATCATGGGATCCCTGGGTAGTGTAAACAGTTAACGTGTTTGGCTGCTAACTGAAAGGTTGAAAGTTTGGGTACACCCAGAGGCACTTCAGAAGAAAGGCTTGGCACTCTAATTCTAAAAAACCAGCCACTGAAAACCCTATGGAGCATATCTTGATTCTAACACATGGAGTCACTGTGAGTTGGCATGGACTCAATGACACTTTTTTTTTAATACCGCATTTAAATGCTAGACTGCCATTTTTCTATAATACTGTCATTGAAAAGAAGACAGTGTCTGTATGTGTTTTGTCACTATAACCCTATAAACTGTAGATAAATGTGTTAATTGATAACCTATCCTATATGTTTGTGTAGAAATTTTGGAGGGAATAAGGATGGGAATGGTCTCAAATGAATTATGAAATGTTATTTTTTGCTTAAAAAGAAACATAAGTGGGGGAATAAGTCAGACTTACTCTGTATATAAAGATTTAAAAGATACCTAGTTTGGTGTCTGATACACCACTACCAAAACCAAAACCAAACCCACTGCCATGGAGTCGGATCCAATTTGTAGCGACCCCCCTTGTGTTTCCGTGGCGGTATCACTACGGAAGTAGGTGGAAGTAGATTGCCCAACCCTCCTTCCGAGGAGTGGGTGGTGGGTTTGAACCACCAGCCTTCTGGTTAGCAGTCACATGCCTTAGGTACTATGCCATCAGAGCTCCCTGATAAACCACTAGCGAGATCTATATGGATGTTTTATATGTCAGAGGAATCCTGGAACAGAGTGAATATTGGAGTAGTTTTGTGTATTTATAATTACAATTCTGCTTTTCCCTCTCTTTTTTTAGCCGTTATTTAAATAAGGCATTTCATATCTGGTCCAAGAAAGATAAATTCTCATCCACTTTTATAAATAATTTGATATCTCATACTGGCACTGAACACTCTGCACCAGCCTGGATGCTGCTTTCCAAGATTGTTTGCTCATCACCCAAACTGGACTACACCAAAATAATTGAGTCCTGGGAGAAAATCAGCAGGTTAGTATGCTTACAATTAAGCCACTAATGGACACTAAGGAGTCTTGGAAACAAAGCATATGTCTTAAGCAAGTGAGCTATTTCATAGCCATTCATATATGGAGCTCTTTTCTTTAAACTTTAGTTATAAAAACAAATATGACAAATAAGAATCAATTTTAAGCTCTCTTATTACCCGTTTAAGTAGATTTAGTGTCTTAATGTTTCTACAACTTGACTCTTAAACCATGCTATTACCCTGCTTCCTCTAGTATTAATCATTTTCCAAAAAAAAAAAAAAAGTTGTTTAAGGAAGTGTTTCATTCTATATTGATATTTCTCCTGCCTTTTTTCTAGTCAACAGAATCCCAATTCAGATACCCTGGGACATATTCTCTGTGTTATTGGGCACATTGCAAAGCATCTTCCTAAGAGCACCCAGGACAAGGTGACTGGTGAGTGCCTGAATCTTCCTGGTAAAGGTGAAACCTCTTGCTTAAACCATGTGTCTGTCTGTGCCTGTGTCTGTGTGTCTCTGTATTTAAGCAGTTAAACTGGAAGAGTTTTAACTTCCTTTTCAGATGTTATCAAGTGTAAGCTGAATGGATTTCAGTGGTCTTTAGAGGTGATCAGTTCAGCTGTTGATACTTTGCAACTACTCTGTCGAGCATCTGCAGAGTCACCTGTAGAGGAACAGGTAAGAGTAAGTCCTCCTTGACATACTTATACTTTATTTGTACTAAGATATATTGTTTGTTTTGAAATTAAAAATTACCTTACAGGTAAGTAAAGTATCTGTAAGGATGTGTAGTCCCCAATAGCCATTGCTGTAATGAGGAAAATATATGTCACAAGCAGTTGATGTTCTGCAAGATGATTTTGGCTGCTAGAGACATAATGATTCCCTTAGGCAGCCACCACTTTGGTTCTAGGTACAAGTATCTTCCAATAAGGCAGCCTATTGATGAGTACATGTTTCCTAGAGAGACTTCTGAATGGTTATCTTTTGATAAGTTGTAGCCTAATGTCTCAATTCTCTATTGTTGCTTTAACAGAAATACCACAAGTGGATGGCTTAATAAAGAGGAATTTATTCTCTTATAGTTTAGAAGGCTTGTTGTTGTGTTGTTATATACCGTCGAGTCGGACCTGACTCATAGCAACCCCTCCTTGGGTTTCTGAGGCAGTATCACTACAGAAGTAGATTGCCTCATCTTTCTTCCAAGGAGTGGCTGGTGGATTTGAACCTCCAGCCTTCTGGTTAGCAGTCAAGTGCCTTAGGCATTACGCTACCAAAGCTAGAAGCCCAAATTCAGAGTGCCAGCTCTAGGGGCTGGGTGAAGGCCTTCCAACTGCCTCCTGTTCCAAACCCAGTAGAGCTGGAGGCTTTTTCTGATTCACGCAGCTGCTGGCTGCAGAGACTGATGAACCCAAGATCAACAGGTAAAATGGCACAATTTCCAAATGGGCAGGCAATCGTAGACCACTGCTTTAAATCTAGGAACAATGCCAAGATTGACAGGCAACCTGGCAGGCCAAGACGCAGCCAAATGCAGGGTCCATATGTGCCAAAAGCTTGAGACCTTTCCCGAAGCTGCTGCTTATATAGTGGAAGCAGGCCACACCCCAAAGTTGCTCTGTAGCCACTGATTAATGTCTCACAGCAGATTCCATCATGGAGGTGATTACAGTCTTATTGTGGAGAATAACTATATATATCCAGCTGCCAAGCCACTCAGAAGTACAGCCCAGCCAAGTTGACAAACAACCTTAACTACCATACCTGGGTACTTGAGGTAGCTTTGTATATCCTCTACCTCTGCCCTCATTCAAGAATACATAGATATTTTTCCACCTAGTCAGAGGGATCCTTCCAGATCAGAAGATTTCTGATCTTTTGATAAGTCATAATCTTAGAAAATGCTTTTCCTGTTACTTTTAAGGCTCTACTGCTCAGAGATCCATTGCTGATATCTTACTCATGCCTCCAAAGTTGCCCATACTGTACATCTGTGTTTTTATATAGATAGAGAAACACAGATACAAGTCAGTGTTTTATGTCAGACAGATGGTTACTTTGACAGTGTTCATTTCCTAGGACGCTGTGAAAACATACCACAAACTTGGTGGCTTAAAACAGCAAATTTATCTATCTTGTAAGAAGTATAGCCAGAATGTTCTTTAGAAGCATGGATGGCAAGACTTTGTCTCACTTACTTTGAACGTGTTATCACAAGGGACTAGTTTCTGGAGAAGGACATCATGCTTGGCAAAGAAGATGGTCAGTGAAAAAGAGGAAGACCATCAACAAGATGGATTGACACAATGGCTGCAAAATAGGCTCAAACAATAGCAACTATTGTGAGGATGGCACAGGACTGGGCAACGTTTTGCTCATTATACATGGAGTTGCTATGGTTCAGAACCAACTTAAGAGTACACATTGCTTCATCTGAGCTACCAAGATATCTTCCTATGTTTCCCTTTCTTTTATAATTTCCTTAAAGAAAGTCCTCATTTGATATGTTACATATTCTACTTTTCATAACAACTTGATACTTGGGATACTTTATTTGATTTTTCTAGCCCATTATCTCAGGACTCAAATCATGTGAAAAATCTTTCCAATAAGGAGTATTATGTAAGTAGGGAGTATATTTGTATAGCAAAAAGCAGTTTAAAAAAAAAAAAAAAAACTAGTACTGTAATGAGTCTAGTAATAATAAGAAGAAATGACATACAAGAAAGTTGGGGAGAATTTTTATGGCAGGTTATGAAATTGTGGTCTTACAAGGTTCAGTGACAGCCTGTTTAGGATCCCAGTCAGAGCTGTGACTGGAACTTAGGCCTCTGATTGCCTTATCAGTATTCTTTTCACCAATACTGGCAGGAAAGGATTATCTCTACTCTTCGGCCATGAGAAGTCACTGGCTGATTGCTAATGGTCCTTAGTGACTAGAGCAGTAAGTGAGATCATTGTTAGAACCTGTGAGAAAAACTAAGAATATCTCCAAATTTAGAAATTGAAAACTGGAAGAGAAGTAGTAGAATGTATTTCCATATCAGAAAAAAGACCAATTTTTTAGCTCTGCTAACATTACCTCTCTTGGTAGACAATGGAATAAAGCCCTTAGATTTTCAGGCATTTTAGGATATTATAAGTCCATATGACCTGTTTGTTCCCCTCAGCACACCTTTATTTTTTTTTCCCCCTGTAAATGAACACTCTATATTTCACTAAGAAAAACATATTATCTAAAGGAGTACTTACAGAAGACTTAGGTCTGTGGACATTTTTGTTATCTATAGGCTTACCTCTGGTGGCATAGTGCCTAAGGCATATTGACTGCTAATCAGAGGCCTGGCAGTTCAGACTCACCAGCCACTCCTCAGAAGGAAGATTGGGCAATCTACTTGCATAGTAATACCACCTTGGAAACCCAAGAAGGGGGCGCTATGAGTCAGATCCAACTTGACAGCAGTGAGTTTGGTTTTTTTGGTTTATATACTTAGTAAGGAGTGATGGTGCTACAGTGTCTAAGGCATTTGCCTGCTAACCATGTTAGTGGTTCAAACTCACCATTCACTTCACAGAAGGAAGACAAGGCAGTTTACTTCCATGAAGATTTACAGCCTTGGAAACCCAGTGGAGGTGCTATGAGTCAGAATTGGCAATGGGTTATTAACTCATACCAAGCATGTAGAATATGTATGTATATATTTATATGCTTAGTATGAGTTAATAGTGTTTTGTGGCTACCGTTAAAGAGTCTATGGGATCTTGGATTGTATTAATAGACATAATGTCTAGAATAAGAGTGGTGATGGCCATGCTCTTTGTACTGGCTAAATCTAAGTTGACATGCTCTGTAATTCAGTTTCAGTGATAGCTTTTCAGAGAAAGGTTGACAAAATAGAATATATCCAGGAGATAGCAACTAGATGAGGGAATTACAAAGCAGGTTGTATAAGGAACAGCCAGAAGACCTGGAGTATTTAGCATGGTGAAGGGGAAAATTATATAGGATAGGCTTTCTAGTTAAATTCAAATATATGAAGGATTTTGAAATGAAAGAAGAGTTACATTTCTTTGGTATTCGCCAGAGGACATATGTGGACCAATGGATAGAAATTGGAGGGAGAGAAAATTTGGCCTACAGGGAAACAAAAAACTTGGTGAGGTCTGCCTGAAAATGGAGGAGCTTGCATCAGAACCTAACCCCATTCATTGGAAATGTTGATGGAGAACACGGATGGCAACTAGGATGATCCCAGTGTGGATAGAGTTCCAGCACTGGACAGCCTTGAAGGTTCCTTTCCAGATGCTCTGATTCTTAAAGTTATTCATCAATATACCCAGGTAACTTTCAGTCTTAGAATCTCAAACATGTTAGCCTTTATCCTCCTGTCAGCACAGAGCATAAGAAATTTAGGAGCTCTCCCAACCAGTTTTATGCTCAGGCTATTCAGTCTTCTAAAATCAAGTGCAGTAATTATTTAAAAAGTGACAAATGCACACCTGAGAATCAGAGAAGGAACTGGCCTACAGGACTAATTATCTACATGAGCCACTGTCTCCTCCATCTTGGGACCAGAAATACCTGGCTACCACTACTGAACATTCTGATCAGGAACACAATAGATGAATTCTGCTAAAATTGGGGGAAATGTGGAAAAGAACTTCATATTCTTAAAGAATCCAGACTTAGTGGAGATATTGAGGCTGGAAGAGTCCCTGAGATTATGGCCCTAAATTGCTCTTCACACCTTGAATTGAAACTACTCTGTGAAGTCACCATTAAACTAACAGTTTAGCCAAGAGAGTAAAGATTGTCACCCTTGGGTATTTATTTAAAAAGCAACAACAACAACGAAAAAAAAACTGTAAATAAGACTAGAAGATCAACAGCTATTTTAAAACATGATGAGAAAGTTGGGGTTGAGGGCAGGATGATTAAGTAAATGAAAGGAAAACAACTGGAACAGAAATATTGAGAATGGTGACAAAATGTCAAGAATATAACCAATGTCACTGATTGTTATATCTAGAAACTGTAGAATGGGATCAGGGTTTGCTGTGTATATTTTCACCAAAAGTAAACTTTAATAAGAAAAATAGTAAAGGCCGTGGTTTTGAAATGTTTTAGGTCAGGTCAGACTGAAAAATCATTTTGATCATATGATGGCTTGCCAGTAGTTTAGCAAACACTGATTAGGTGCTCTCTTGCGGTAGTACTTTTAGGCTATGGGATGATGGTTAAAGTAGGGCCCCTTCCTAAGACATCCACTGTATAGTACAGGAGATGTACATGTAAACAGATAAGCTCAACATATGCATAGGTTAACATGGAAGCACTAGGATGGAGACATTTAACTCAACTGGATATTTTAGAACACCCTCCTAGAGAATGTGAAGCTCAGTAGTTACTGAGTGCTATTGAGACCTCCCTCCCTTAGCATGTAAGTGTAGTTAGGTATTGTTGGCTAAAGGTATTGACTCCTTGAGATTATTTTAACTAGTAAGAGACATTGAAAATGTCTCTAATGCATAAATCTTAGAAGGATAATAAACCAAAATAACTTTTTAAAATTTTATCCTGTTTTTGTGTGTGTGTGTGATTTGGGTGAAAATTTACAGAGCAAATTCACTTTCCATACAGCAGTTCACATACACTTTGTCTCATGACATTGACCACA